AGGAGACTTCCCTGAATTGTTTGTACTGCCATGACGTTGTGGTAATGATAATACTGATGTTGGTGAATGTTTCTTTCAAGTTTTTCCTCCCAAACTTGAGATGTATCCCGTTTTCTCTTTGTCAATGTTGGTTTCGATATTTCACGATGTCATGTTCCTGAAAAATTAAATTTTAGAGATTAATTACGTGGAATAAGTGTTACTTAGTTCAAACATCTAACAACCAACTTCATTACTCAATGACCTAAGGAGAATGAAATATGGTTGAAGAATTTTAACTAAACTATAAAATAAACTAAAGTATCCAATAATTAAAAAACAAAATAAATGAATAAGTAAACAAGACGAAAGCTTGGGTTACCTCCCAAGAAGCGCTTCTTTAACGTCATTAGCTTGACTCAACTGCAGTACCTATGTTAACTTTTCAGGTGAAACCTCTATCTTATTTCTAAACTTCACCCTTGGCTTTGTATTTTTCTTCACTATACCATGGTCAATAGAATGAAGTGGTGTTAACTCTGATACCATAAAAATTTGTTCACGAAAATATGTTTCGGATTTAAATCACCGCAAGAGTACAGTTCATTGACAAGTAATAAAGTGGAAATCCTAGAATTTCGAGTATCGTTCCCATGAGAATTGATTTAACATGAATTCTATTATTACGACCTTAATCGAATCTATTCAAGTTAAGATGAGTTTTTCAGATTTTTAAACTATGGCTAATAAGCAAATTAAGCTAGAATTATAAACCAAATGCAAAAGTAATGTTTGAATGCAAAATTTTGAAGAAATCAATGTATGAAAAGCATACTAGGATCCCGAATCACCAAGCAAATTTCACTCTTAACCCCTATTTCACAATTTGACAACACGACGAATTGGTTAAAGAATCAATGTTTCTAACCTATCCAACAATCTCTTTCGATTAGAATTGAACATATTCTAGTATACCATTGACTATATTTCTATGACGAATGCAATATACGAGAATGCATGAAATTTTGTGAACACTTAGAGATTCACGTAATGCATATCGATATATTTCTATCCTCTATGAACAAAACGATGATTTATACCTTGTTGAGTTTATTTCCCTTCTTTCGAATGCATAAAATAAACCACCCAAACTCACACAATCACATGCATTTAATTATGGAGGCAAGAAAGTGTAT